TTGAAGCAAGAACGGAGTGTTTCCTCTTTTTATGTTTGTCGCCGCTTGCATTCGACGTGACATCGATTTTACGAGGTTTTCAACGTAGTGCTATGGAATATTGGAATACTCCTCCCACAGCGCCATTCTTAATTTCTGCAAATTATCTGGCATCAGTGTGCGACTATTTGACAACTCGTCCCAACCATGGCCACCTAAGTTTGATTTCTCCCATCATCCAAAAATTTCCTCTTACAACCGTTACTCAAACATATTTTAAATTTAAATATGATACAACTTAAAAATATCAAACCATGGGAAAGTTAGAAAGAAATTTTATACAAAAAACAACAAAAAGGAGATTGACTATTCCAAGCTTTATTAACAAAATTCAAGTGAAAACTCAAGTGGAAGATTTTTCCGTGTTTTATGGACATCTTATTCCTTTAAAACAGACCAAATATTGTTGTAAGATAATAAATGGAGGATTGTCAAAGAGATAAATAAAAATATTATGGGTGACCACTTGTTACGGTCGAAACTTCGGCCGACAACATTTGGTCCCGTCGCTCAGTGGAGAAGGGGGTGGGTGAAGGAGAAAGGGAGGGAATTGTTGAGGACGACGGTATTTTTGGGAAGGGTAAATACCGAAACCCTAAGAGAAGAAAATAAATAGAGGTAAAGGAAGGAAGGAGAGGAAAAAATGAAACCAAAAGGGACAAAAACAACAGTAACGGAGTTTGGAATCGAACCCACAATTTTCGAGGCCCAAGTCGGCGATCGTAACCACTAGACCAAAGGCGCCGACTAAGCTTCCCTCCATCCCGCCGGCTCACCGCCTTGCGACTGGGATCGCCAACAAAACCCAGGGCCCAAATCCATCCTCCGTACAGATAGAGATAGAGAAAGATAAAGAACAATAATATTAATCGCCGGTGCGGTATTCGGCCTCCGCCGAATAAAAGATCTACAAGTATCAATAAGACCGCTCGACTCGACACACTTTAGATCTCGCATCTCTTTAGATTTCCGACTGCCGGTGCGGGTCGCAGAATAAGCGGTTGCGGTTCACTTTACAATCCTGCTTATCTGTTGTTAATTAAAAAACCATGATTGTGAAAAGATTCGAACCGAGAACCTCTAGAGCCCAACCACTAACTCGCCACCATGGTCCACCACATGTAAGATTTTCGTTTTATCTATTTTTCTTTTAATTATTTTCATTATTCACCCTTTATCCTCTCTCTCTTACACTCTCTCCTTCTCTCTCTCTCCATTTATTGTTTGATTTTTTTATTAATATATAATATATACTGTATTTTGATCTAACGTATACGTGCGAGTGCTCACATTCGCCACCAACTTTTATCTTTTTAATTTTATTGCATAGATATTTCACGATCAGCCAAAATCATCTGTCAACAATACTCATATCCTAAGCAATAATATTCTAATAATAATTGTACATCAAGTTTACTAAAATGTATAAAAATTTAATTATTACCTGTATGCCACATATTCAGATTAGCGGTTTTATTAGATCTGGAAATGTTTTCAAAGTGAAGGCACGCAAGGAAAATAAATTGAAACACGTGTTTCTCCCAGAAGCTGTAAAAATTAAAGTGAGGATCTATGTGTATACCCTACCATTTCTTTACGTTTTCTATACGCGGACCACCTTGAATAAAATAACGAGCGACATAAAACGGCGCGGCGCGGCCTGTGGAAAATAAATGAAAAACGGGGCATCCGGGAAAGGACGAAATATATGGCCGTGATATTTTATTTGTGGCGGATAGGTGTGGCCGAGTTTGGAAATTAGATTCATTACTTTGACCGGGGACGTGTAATGAGGATGTAGTGCAGGACCTGGACTATTCGACCTTTAACGTCCTTCGCACTCAACACATACGCTACAAAATAAACTCGTATTTCATTGCTATTTATGATTCGAGCTCTTTTCATGTCAAAATGCAAATTAACATCATTAACAAAATTTCATATCTTGGAGTGTTATGTGTCATATTCAAACTAATTTTAATAAGTGCAATAGTTCAAATACATTTAATAACTCATTTACAAATTTAATCAAAACTTTCTTACAGTTATACAACACGTACAATAACAATAACAATAAAATACAAGGTTATAATTACGTTTGAATAATGTTTAAAACACAAATATTTCTGTTTGTTACATTCCATATACTCAACAAACAAAAACTTTGAATTAAAAACGAACATATGTTGGCAGTAAAACTTCATATATTCAACCCGTACAGGTTGTCGCATTTCAGATAAAACAACGTTATTTCATTTACTTTCATAGACCGACAAAAATTCAACTGGGACCTCCTTTCGTACATTTTATTCACATGCACGCCGGAAATTAGATTTGTCTACAATGTGTTGACTATAGGTTTTTTCCTTACATTTCCAAGGCCCAACTTACTTCAGTTAATTTTTTTATTGTTTATAACTAATACTTTATGTTGGGTGACAATGTCGGTATTTAATGAAGGTACATATACAAAAACAAGCGTGGTAAAAATACCCATGGGAAAAACTCCAATGAGACTTAAAAGGTTTTTTTAATTAAAGTGTGGTGCCACGTTAACTGCCACTTTCACTGGATAGGCTACTTCAGCCAGCAGAGGATTCCAATGAGCTAATCCTTTACTTCTTTTTTTTTCTTGTTGTATTGGAAAAATAGAGATATGTAGTCGAAGAAATACAAGTTGTCTCGTTCATTTTTATATTTTTGGGAGTGGAATTTTGAAAAAAAAATTCCTTGTAGAAAAACAAAGATACTGTTTAAAAAGCTAGACTGTTTTTTGGTAAAAGAGTTATACAAAAAGTTTGTTCTGGAAATTATGAATTGTTTATTCTGCTAACATCAAAAAATTTTCCATGTATTACTTTTAAATCATTTCATCATTTCTACTGCCATATTTTGGGTAGTTAAAACTTGTGTTTACATTCACTAATTTTAATGGTCCACTTGACAAAATAATATCTTTCAATTAATTAATCTGTATCTAAGGTATTGGTTGAGATAGAAAGTTACTCTTACAAGCGGGATTCGAACCCACGACCTTCGGCTAAATACGTCGCTGCTTTACCACTTTAGACACTGATCGTGACTTGATCCACTCGGACACCAAGTAAAGCTCTCCGTTGCCATTTCATTTGTCGCCAAGAATAAAATAGATTACACGACATTTGAGAAGTGGCAAAAAGGAGGAAGATTCGAACGGTGAGATTGAGATGGGAAGTTGGTGTCCGAGTGGATCGAAGTCACGAAAGCTCAAGAGGTAGAGCACGACGTATTTAGCCGAAGGTCGTGCGTTCGAATCCCACTGGTGACACTGACTTTTTTATCTCCACCAATACCTTACATAAAAATTATGGGGTACGGGCCTACCCAGGCTTTTAACCGCTCGGGTCCTGGTCCCCCCGTAATATATATACATAAAAATTACGTAATTGAAAGATGTTATTTGGTCTATCGGACCACGAAAGCTAATGGATTTATGCTTATTGTTGTTATAACCTTAGTAATATTTTTTTTTAATAAGCTTCTCGACCTTGATGCAGCTATGTCACGATAGCTCAAGTGATAAACCGGCGGCGTATTTAGCCGAAGGTCGTCGGTTCGAATCCTGCTTGTGAGAGTGACTTTTTTATCTCAACCAATATCATAAATATAGAGTAATAACTTGTTTTTACTTTGAACTTAATGTTATAAATCAAAAAACCCGCAATGTATGTTCATTACCACCTAGACCTTTCCCTAATTGTATAAATATGCCAAATATGATATCTTATGTGCGATTGTGAAAACGTAAAAAATGAGAAATGATCTCATCATCAAATTCCGGATAAAGCAGGAACTCTCCATTGCCCATTGAGTTAGGTTACCCTTTACCACGAGGTCTTTTAAGCCCATGTGAACGGCCAACAGTGCTGTGCCAACAAAGCCAACTGTCAAATCATAGAATTCTTTTATACAGATTAATTAGAAGCACATTCAATACATCCTGGTACGTCAGAATTGAAGACGTTTACAGGACGGTAAAATAGAAATAGTTAAGAAGTAAATATCTATTCGGCAACAATAGCCCAACATCAACATGAACAATGAAGCAGTCCACCTGTTGGATTTCGAACATGTAACGAGACGACTCAAATGAGTCATGCCACATGATTTATTGTTGCTACAGTGATAAGCTTGGGGTGAGATTGTAAATAATTCAGTATTAAAGAAAAAAATTGTTTTAAATTTTAAACTTATGTGTGTATGTTTTATTGTATTACATTATTTTTTAGGAAAAGGTTGTTAATAAGCCGAGAATAAGCTGGATACTAAATTAACTGAAATCCCCGACCTTTGAAGATTGGGGTCAAAATTATATAAACTATTTTATCTATAAATGTTGTTTTCATTTTATTTGAATATAATAAAAGAATACTTTTTATACATATCACGTATATCGATTTACGCATGCTAAGTTCACAATTATAAATATGTGTTTATACATATTTATTGTTAGAGGTTTGGTATATTTATTGTATATTAAAAATGAAAATGTTGGAAGGCTTTTAAATAATTATTTCATGTTTGAAATTAGAACAAAACAAACACTCCTGTTATTAATTCAACCGGTGGTAGGTTTTCGTTATCCTCGTATGTATTTTATATTTTTTTTATCTGAAATTTGCCGAAGCGAAATATTCAAAGGGCATGAGAGGAAAGGAAAAAAAGGGCACGTTCGGTCATAAATAGAAAATTCCAGATTACCGCTTTCTCTGTATTTTTCCAAGTTATTCCTGATTTAAGGTGAAAAAAGTTTTTTTTTTGAGAGAGAGAGAGTGAGAGAGCGAGGGAAAAAGAGGAAAACCTCTGTAAGTCCGTCTCTCTAAGCCGATTACCACTTGCGCGTTTTACCTAACGTTTTATTCACATGAATATGGAAATATCCACGGCGAGTTAATTTAATTTTAAAAGCATTGTTCACTCACGTTCCCAGGGGCAGCCATAGATCTCCACCCTCATGCAGACGGTGCGGGGATGCTCGCTGTACGGGATGAACCTCACCTTGCTGGCGATAAAAGGCAAGTCTAGGTCTTGTCTCACGACCAAGTAGGTGTTTGTATTCCCCGCCAAAACCTGTAAAACACAAATGGAAATAATTATTTCTCCGGAAACGGTTATCTGTTCTCTTCGCCGATAACGATTTCAGAGAAGTCATTAATAACAAGGGGATCCCATTGGTAATCCAATTGTTCCAATCTCTGCATTCAAGTCTTCATCCGTATCAGGGCTTTAGTCGGTAAAGCGCGGTTTAATTAATGAGATTAGTCAAAGGGTATTGAAGTAGGAGTAAGGGGCGGTGTACATATCTGTAAGCTTCAGGTAAGACGAGGCCCGCAACTAATTGCCATATGTATCCACCTACCCGAGATTAGTTGTAATTAAGGTGGTGGACGTGTAACCATACACACTGCATCTCTGATTACACTCATAGCGGAGGCCGATTGTATTTCGAATCTCATTGTTACCACCTGTTTATGTTATACCATAATAGAGATTCATAACATACGTCCAGAGGTGATTGATCACTGACGTCACAAACCACAGCAGTGATCAATTTCTCAATCTTTTTCACAATTATTTTAAAACTATAGAAAATAAAAATATATTTTATTGCCAACAAAATTGCCCTTTGTTTACCTTTTCATTAACAAACCAAACAATACATATGGCAACAAATCAAATAAATGAAAAAGTAAATCCATTACAGTTCGTAGTCCGATTGACCAATTACCTTTTTTTCAATTAATTAATCTTTATGTAAGGTATTACAATTAATTAAGCTTTTTAGTTGAGATGAAAAAAAATTAATGCCACGAGCAGGATTCGAACCCACGATCTTCGGCTAGATACGCCGCTGCTCTACCACTTGAGCTAACGTGACCTCTATCCACTCTGACATCAACTTCCTATCTCAACCCCACCTTATGAGATTTCCCTCCTTTTTGCCATTTTTCAAGGAGGGAAAACTCATAAGGTGGGGTTGAGATAGGAAGTTGATGTCAGAGTAGATCGAGGTCACGATAGCTCAAGTGGTAGAGCAGCGGCGTATCTAGCCGAAGACCGTGGGTTCGAATCCCGCTCGTGCCATTAACTTTTTTTCATCTCAACTAAAAACCTTAATTAATTGTAATGATTTAATTGATCAAGCGGACCACGAAATTAGTGAATTTTATGAAAGGTGTTGGTTGATATAAAAAAGTGAGCGTCACGAGCGGGATTCGAACTCACAAACTTGAGCTAAATACGCGTTGTTCTGCCACTTGAACTATAGTGACTTCAATCCGTTCAGACACAAACTTCCCATCTCAACCTCACCTCTCGAATGTTCCCTCTTTTCGCCACGCTGACTTTTTTATCTCAACCAATACCTTTCATAAAGGTTAATTAATTGGAAATAAATGAAAAAGGTTAAAACCAAGTCAACAACTGCTTTAAATCCTCTCTCTTAATTATTATATTTATTATTCACCTATGAAAAACCATTATTAAAACTAATTGTCTCAATGAATGTTCAGAATTATTTAAAATTTGTTCAAATATTTACAATAGCAATGTACCGTCCGGGTACCTGGACATATAGGGGTGTTTCCTCACAAATAATATTGTATGTACAGTGTGTATTTGTTTGTAAATAATTTATACATTTATGTGCATTATATGATGTATAAATTTATTTGTAATTAATTAAAGTATTGCGAGTGTGCGATTTATGTTTAGATTAGAGTTAAAGGCATTAGAGTTAAAATCGGTGGCGGAATGTCGAGTACCTCATTGGTCGTTACAGTGAGCGAGAGCTGAAACTGACTTCACTGTTGGTAGCCCCGCAAAAAATAAATAAATAATAAAAACAAGAAATGTACGCTTGAGTAACATAAACCTTGCTTAATTTTTATAAAAATTATGGTTTTTAATTAAGCGTCAATTATTATTTAGTAAGCCTATTTAAACATGAAACTTAGAAATTGAATGACAAGCTAGCAAATAAATATTACGACGGAGATGTTATTGTTTATCCGGAAAGGATTGATGTTGAAGCCAGATTTACGGCCGGATTACATCTTTCTCTCACTTCCCTTATTTTTACGTTAATTTAAAGTTTACATCCAATCCAAGTTCATAGCCATTTATTTTTCCCTCTCTCGTTAGGCAGCCTTATTTCGCCCCATCCACCTTGACGTAGTCGCTTTCACAAAGTGGTTGCTCACATAAACTCATTTAGTGGGTTAATTGCTTGGAGATGCCGTATTGTAATGTTTCAATTAAAAAAGAAGCATGGAGAAGAAAGTTTCAGAGGCTGTCTCGTGGGCGTCTGCCGTTGACAGCCGTTAAGGTTAATCGATTTTTCCTTCTTTTATTTTTTTGCATCAGAAAAATTATTTAAAAACATTTATCTAGATTGGATTGTCCGTAATTAACGTTTTTAGATATCTGTACCTGTTTAGTTAACACGTTGAAATGAATTTAGAACAATTTGCGTTTTATTTCATTTGATAAATGCTTTATTTATATGATAATTTGTACATCATGAACACGAAGTTACGGTGCAACAAGCCAACAGTTCGGCATTACTTACAAATCTTGCGGGTTTAGTCTATTATATGTGTAGACCCTCGCCGTATTGCAACTAAAGCGATGTATAGAAAATTTTAATTTATAACCCCATTTTTCTACCGCCCAATTATTTTTTAAGGCAACCTGTTGTTTTTGCTGCATTTTTTTAAAAAAGCAATGTTTTTTGTTATTTTTAATCAAAGATACATTTTCAATACTACTACAAAGATTTGGTCTTTTTCGATTGTTTGAAGAACGGCGTGTAATATTTTTATTTTTTGTTGATATCTTGCATCGCAGAAAAGCAAGATTTTTTCTTCACGTATTTATAGACGGATAAATCTCAGTTAACAAATGATGAAATACTGGGCAGGTGAAAGTTCCATACATAGGGGCATGATGTATGTGTGAATTAAAATGGAATCGGTTTATAGTACCATAAAAATTTAAATACTGAACAACCCATTGCGCTTTGAGAGACACCACTTTTAAAAAACAGTCCTACGCGGGATTGTGGTACCTTCTTGCTCGATGTCCTTGTAATTCAAATGTAAGTGAGTATTTATTGAATTGCAGGTTATTTAGTAATTGTAATAAATGTATGTTCCCGTGAAGACATCCCTTAATAACATTATATATATTTACCGAGAAAACCTGTCTGGTGATGTTTCTATCTCTCAGGCACCACAATGTGTGTGAACTTAGACGATAAATGAAAAATTACTTTGACTAGCTAGACTAGAACACACCTTAAAATACCATGGAATGTCTGAGTGAGTTAATCGAGTTTAAATTGTTGCTGTCAAAATTAATGAAGGAATAATCGTGATTTAAATTATATATATACATAAGTATAACAGACGTTGCACTCGTTCCAAGTGAAGTTCCTCGTGGTTTAAAAAGATTAAGAGCAGTTCCATTGACACCAATATTGTAGAAAGCTTTTGAATAATTATTGTACGGTCAACGATGTAATATACCATCTTAATTTCTTAAGTTATTTTATTTTGTTCTTTGTTCTTTGATTTGACTTTCGACATAAGTCTTTGATAAGGGTTTGGCAAAGAAGAGTGAGAAATTATTGAAATTAATTATACCTTACTGCATTTAACCACCTAACCAATAAATTATGTTTTTTATAATTTCGCATAGTAAATAATAATTAAGACAATTATTTACAAAGTGATATTAAGAAGCGATAAATTCTAAACATCTAGTTGTTATAACTACTAACCTTCCAGCAATATTGGTGGATAGGTAGATCGATAGATATATATAAATATATCGATAGATAGATATAGATGGATAGATTGATAGATAGATAGATAGTGATAGATAGATAGAGTTAGATAGATAGATAGGTTGAGATAGAGATAGATAGAGATAGATAGATAGATAGATAGATAGATAGATAGAGAGAGAGAAAGAGAGTGAGTGAGAGAGAGAGAGAGAGAAAGAGAGAGAGAGAGAGAGAGAGAGAGAGAGAGAGAGAGGAATTTTTTTTGTTCGCCAAAAATATGCACTTATTGTATTGTGTTTTTAATTAATTCTTTAGAATGAGTATTTAATGATGAGTTTGATAATGTGTTTCTGAAAATAATATAATCGAACGGTATTTTTAATTAATTAAAGTAGTAAAGGTAGTGCCATGGGAGGGACAACAGGTGCAACTGGTGGCAGGTTTATTTATGTGTCTGTCGCGGTGGATGGATCAACGTCCCTGAGTCCCTTTATCACTCAAGTCTGACACGCGCATTGCGACGGTTTCTCCCTGGATGGTCCGGCCCTTTTCAACCGGAATTACACTCAGATTTAAATTCTGTCAAGCCAGGTCACGAACGAGCCAGCGAGAAGGGAAGCCGTGCGGCATCTGGAGCCGGTTTCATTTTCAAGAAAGGATACTGTTTCAAAGTTGGTCTCGCCCTTGGGGTGAGGGCATCAGTTACGAGGAACGTTCACCCCCGACTCCCAAACCTCAACCCCCCGACACTCAACATCTCACCCCGAAGCCTCCAGGACTCCATCATATTACATGTGTTTTCTTTATAGCTGAAGCTTTTTCTTCTTTCGAAAAATTTAAATCGACTAACCACTTTTCTGCCGATATTAATCATGATATTAAATTTCATAGCGGGTTATATTCTATGAAAATAAAAGCGTAAGAATGAGTGACTGGGTGAAAAATAGAGACATAAGATTGATATATGAACAGAGACGAAAATATGTTAGAGGAAAAAGAACGGAGTTAAAACTAAGGGAGAAACCATAAATATAATACAGAGTGGTATATTGCACAGTTTATATTTTAGTGAATTTAGAACGAAAATATTATCAACAAAGTCTTTATTTTCGTCTCATAAATACCCAAATTTTATTAAACCCGATAAATAAGGAGGCGTTTTAGCAAGATTACTTTTGTTCAAAATATGTGGAATTTTATTAAATAAATGTAACCATTAGTTTATACTTTAGAATAAAAAAAAAACGAAAATGCCAGTTTTATATATTGATTACGAACTGAT